TTTAAATTTGGGAGGTATGTTTTTTTTTTTTAAAGTTCTTTATAGATTCTGGATAGTAGACCTTTGTCTGAGGAACGGCAGGTGAAAATATTTTCCCACATTGTGGGTTGTCTCTTCACACTGCTGGTGGTTTCTCTTGCTGTGCAGAAACTTTTTAGTAAGAAGAGATCCCACTTGTTGATTGTTTTAGTTCATGGGCAACTGAGGTTTTTTCAGAAAATCTTTTCCTATACCAATGTCTTCAAGAGTTCTACCTAACCTCTGTTCCAGCCGGTTCAGCATTTCTGTTTTAATATTTAGTTCTTTAATCCATTTAGATTTTAGTTGAGTGCATGGTGAGAGATATAGATCTAGTTTCTTTGGCAAGTTGAAACCCAATTTATACAGCTCCATTTATTAAAGAGGCTATCTTTCCTCCAGTGAGGGTGTTTGGCTGCTTTGTCAAAGATGAGGTGGCTGAGTGTGTCTGGAGTTGTTTCTGCATCTTCTAATCTGTTCCTCTGGTCCTCAGGTCTGTTTCTTTGCCAGTACCATGCTGTATTTATCACAGTAGCTTTGTAGTATAGATTCCACCTCACCCCAGAAAGAATGGCTGCTATCAAGAAATCAACCAATAACAAATGCTGGCAGGGCTGTAGGGAAAGAGGAACGTTGCTCCACTGCTGGTGGGAACGTAGACTGGTGCAACCACTGTGGAAATCAGTATGGAGATACTTCAAAGAACTAGGACTGGAAGTCCCATTTGACCCAGCTATTCCCCTGCTGGGTATTTTCCCCAAAGAATTAAAACAATCATACCACAGTGATATATGTGCACTCATGTTCATAGCAGCACAGTTTGTAATTGCTAAAACTTGAAAACAGCCCCAATGCCCATCAACTGGAGACAGGATAAAGAAAATGTGTTTTTTTAATAAAATGGAATACCACTCAGCCATAGAAAATGAGAAATTAGAGACATATATAGCTAAATGGATGCACATTGAGGCAATACTCTTAAGTGTAATAAACAGGACACGTGTAAATACCGAATAGTTTCTCTAGTGTGAGAAACTGAAAGTGTAAATAAGGACTAAAAGGTATAATAGATAATGTGAAATAGGAAGAAAAGGGGCAAAGGGGAAGGGGAAGTGGGAGGGGTAGGGGAAAGGAAAGAAGGGAATGGAATTAATACGAGAAAATGAAAAAATGGAAACAAAGTCTTTGTAAATAGGGAGGAATGGAGGGGTTTAAGGGAGGGCAGGGGAAGGGAGAAAAATAAGAACCAAGAGAGTTTGTAAAGGTGCAAAAATATATGAGTAGAATATCCTAAATATTATGAATGATAGTAATGTAGGCATTCATGGTCATATGAACACAGCTGAGAATCTACTATGATATAGGCAGTTATATAGTTATAATTTAATATGTAACACAAGACAAAAATTTATAAGAAGATATGCACAAAATAAAAATAAAAATATGAGAAAAGGAAAAAAATAGAAATAAAGTCTTTGTAAATAGGGAAGGGTGGAGTGGGTGAAGGGAGGGCAGGGAAATGGGGGAAAAAATAGGAACTAAGATACATCATGTAAAGGTACAAGATCCCAACAAAGAATGTAACTGTATTTTATACCTAAAATGTACCAATAAACTTAATGAAAAAATAAATAATATGAATATTATATTGATTAGGATTCTGTTGTGAAAGAAAATATTCTTCCAACAGGCTTAAGGAAAAGAAAACAATTTAATGGCTCATTTAACTTGGTTATCAGTGAGGAAGAATGGCTTTAGAAACTACTTTGCTGCTCCTGTGGTCAGGACCCTGGCGCATGTGCCCTCTCTCTCTCTCTCTCTCTCTCCCTCCCTTTCCCTTGTCAGTTTCATTCCTCAGCCCCATTCTAGGTGGCAAGATGGCCCCTGGCTTCACATCTTGGGGTTCTGTAAAGAAAGGAGGAGCTGATTTTTTCCTTGCTAAATCCCATAAAAGTCTTAAGATTAGTCTGACTTAGTTGGATCACAAAGCCATTCCTGGAATTATCATAGTAGCTAAAAGAATGTGATGTTCAAAGTGACTTTGCCTGAGTCACGGGCTCCATCCTTAGAACTGGAAAGGCCTACCTCAGCTGTGGACTTGGAGGGAGAAACAAAAGATCCACAAACAAAAAACTGAAGCTATTGCTGTGGAATAAACAGAAGTTAATATTGGTAATTTGGACAAACTACTAATATTTTCAAAAAGAGGTCCTGTTGTCATGTAGAAGAGAAAGGTCTCTGTGGTCTGGGTGGTTAGCAAAGTTTCTAGAATTAAACTGACTTGAAAATGAGTAGAATTTATACTGGCAGGAGTTCTATTATTGCCATCCTCATTACAATTATTACCACTGTAGTTAACATTTATTGAGGACTTAATTGTGTGCCAGGCACTGATGGAAGCCTGTTATATTTATCACTTGTTTTCATCCTCCCTGTAGAAATCATTAGATTTGCCAATCATAGTATTGTTTGGACCTTTGACAGGATAATTTAATAGGGTCGAAGAATTTGTAGCCAAATAGCAAATGGCATAGGCTGAGGAGTGGCTGAAAGGAAAGGACTGGGCGGGGGTGGTGGTGGGGGTGGTGGTGAGCAGTGAATATAGGCTTCTCTTTCCAAAGGGGTTGTGATGAGAAATAGAGAAAAGGCAGCATGGGCAGAGCATAGGCTTTGCACCAAAAGCTTTTCTTTATCCTTCTTTTGATAAGTATGGGTAAACCTGGTGGCACATGCAGAATGAATGACAGAGACTGATTTGTGGAGAGGGAGATAGTGAGGATGAAGCCATGTTTATTAAATGCAGGAAATTGGTTGAAAAGTGGAGGAAGAACATAAGCAAAGATGTAGGTCTAGAAAGGAGAGGAGAACTTGGTGACTGAAAACAAGACAGTGAAGGTGAGAACGGAGATGAAGGGGACAGACAGTTTCCTCAAAGTTCAGTTCCATGCCAGGCCCTTTGCTTGAGAATGTTTTGGGACACAAAAGTGTTAAGAAGGAAGATTCATTTTATTTTTGATATCTCCCTATGCGGGTAAGGGCTGATTAGTCAAGACACGAGTTAGAAATGGACAAGCTGTGTTTGAGGAAGTTAGGTTCCTAAGCCAGCTGCTCTGTCTCAGGTCAACTCAGTCCAGCCAGTCAAAAAGCCAACACTAGGAAGGTACCCTGTGATGAGTTACCAGGAAGAAGTCAGCCCACTCTCCGGACTGGATTTGATTTAGGTAAATTATTTGTGACATTCCTATATTTCTATGCAACATAGGATGTTTGGGAACACAAGGGAAGCTCCAGTTGTCATCCAGTCTACGTTAGTTCCCAGCAGGGCAATGGCTATTCCATCTGGGAATCTACTTAGATCCCAAAGCTCTCCAACCCTATGGTTTCCCTGGTGACCTGGTGAGGTGATCTGGTTCAGGCGATCAGGTTTGCCTTGAAACCTCGGTGACTGTTAAATGCCCTCCACAAGGTAAACCCTGGAGAATAGCATGTTTTAAATAGGCTCTTATCCAACTTGGGAATAGAAATACAAGACCAATGAGGCACTTTTTAAAAATTCCTCTCTTAACACACAGGCAAGGAAGCCAAGTCCCTGAAAGACAACATGATGTAATCAGACTGACACAGTAACTTTATATTAAAACTAACACTGAGACTCAGGTTTCTGACTGCTCTCCCCAAAGCAGGTGGTACAGTTGCTGAAACACATTGTCACCTCTGGAGCTGGTGTTCCTTTTGTTAATGGATTCCTTTCTCACCTCACCAGACCTCATCAAATAATACTCTTGGTTGAGGAGTAAAAGAAATAAGAAAAACTGAACAGCTTCAATAAGGAGAAACACATGAACCCGAGGATTGCTTTCACCTTATAACAACAAACAACAGCAATGACAACAACAAATGATTTCCTTCTGAATATTTGGTTTATTTGTGCATTTCCTGGCATTTGAATCCTGAATCTGGCTGAGCCAGTGTGGAGGACACATCTTCCTTGTGCTACAGGTCTGGGGGTGGGCCCGAAAGTCTTCCAAAGGAGGGCAGATTACTTTAAGCATGGGAGGACTTGCTGTTTTTCACTACTATACTCCACTTTGAGAAAGACCCTATTTGGGCAAACCCCAAATTAAACCAGCCCCATAAGAAGTTGCGGTGATGAAAGAATTTTCTCTTTTTGAAAGAAATCAGTCAGTGGTATAAACTCGCCTGACCCTTTAAAATGTCTGTGGTGTGCCAGTGACCACTTGCCTGTCTGCTTGGCTTGAGAAGAAGTCCAGGGATTCTCCAAACATAAATGTTAGGTCCTGCTGTCAATTACAATTTAATCAGAAGTAGTGGAAAATATTTCTGAAAGCAAGAGGATGTAATAGGCTTTAGTTTCTACAAGTTCCACTCCCAGGGACTTTGGGAGCAATTCCTTAAACAATGCATGAGTGAGAACAGTTTGTCTTAAACTTTTGCTAATTTCAACAGCCAGACTCAGAATGATTACCCACTATTGTTTAGGAAGCATGGTAAAAAGTAAAAAGGGAGGAAATGCAAAAGGTTTGCTTGGTATAACAGTTTGACTTCCAAGTGCAGTTGTCCCCATAAACCCCACTCAGATACCGACATCTATAGGTGCTCAAGTTCTTACACAACATGTTGAAGTGTTTGCATATAACGTATACACATCCTTTTATATCCTCTCATATAAATCATGTCTAGATTACTTATAATGACTAAATACATTGTAAATCTATGGAAATAATTGTTATACATATCAAGGAATTAAGGAATAATGTATTTTTAAGGAATAATGAGAAGGAAACTTCTATACATGTTCAGTAGGCAAAATTTCTTTCAAATACTTTCAATCCATAGTTGGTTAAATCTGCCTGTGGCTGTGGTGGCCAATTGTACAAACATCATCCTAGATGTGAATCTAGAAGTGAAGTTCTCCCTGTAGCCTTTTGAGGCATTCACAAACGTCAGTGTTAGGTACATACATTTTCTCCAAGTCCCCAAATCCTGAAAATGCTCCTTTTGGGATGATTCGAAGCTTGGTGAGAACAAACCTCCTGAAAAGAGAGTGGAGATAACAGATCACAATCTACCCATTAATAAGTAATTGAGTGCCTGACATATGACATCAGCTAAAAGTGCATATATACTAATTACCTGCCATAATAGCAATGGTGAAAATTGCTTTTACAATCTCTGTCTTCATCCTCACCACAAATCAGTGAGATTGGAGATGTTATTTCCCCCATTTTGCATGAGGAAATAAGTTCAAAAAGAAAAACTGACCCAGGTTCACATGGCTGACACAAGGCAGGGCTGGGATGTGAACCTTGCTTGTGGCCATGTTGTTTCCCGTGGCCCCTTGAGAGGCTGCCTCCATTTCTCCATGTCCTGCTTAGCTGACCATGGACCTGATTCAAAGAATAGATGAAGTCACTAGGAGTCTCTAAACTCCTACCCATTTCCTATGCATTTGTTGTATGTGCTTCTCCTCCTGTTCCCATGTGTGAACTGTTCAGGGTCCTGTCTGGGACCAGTCCCCTCCTGTTCACCCTTCCCTCTTCCCCTCTCCCCTAGTTGAGGTGCCACTACCATTTCTCCCTCCTTTTTATATATTTCATTCATCTATTTTCCCACTTCTACTGATTTCTTCTCATTAATAGAAAAACATGCCTTAATTTTTCCCTAAAAAACCCGTCTCTTAATCCCAATCACTTCCAGCTTTTGCCACTTTCTGTTTGCAATTCTGTGTCAGCTACTCATCTCTGCCACAAAATTCCTCCCAATGGCTCCTCATCTCACTCAGGGAAAGATTTAACTTGTTTACAGTGGCTTCAGTATCACCCAGGAGCTTTCTGTAGAGATTCCTAGAGGTCTTCTTATCTCAATTATTTTTGACATTTGGAAAAAAGTTTAATGCACTCTAATGTTTATAGCAGCACAATTCATAAAAGCTAAATCTTGGAAGTTGACTATAGGGCCATTAACAGATGAATTGGTAAAGAAAATGTGGTACTTGCATATAATGGAGTATTACTCCGCCATAAAGAAAGATAAATTTGAGTCATTTGTAGGAAAATAGACACACTTTGAGACCACACATAATATTCTTTTTATTTTATTTTTTATTTTTTATTTTTTTTGAGACCATACATAATATTAAGTGAATTAAATCAGACACACAAGCTTAAATGTCACATGGTTTCTCTTTATGGAAAACCTAAAATATAAATAAAGAGGAAAATAAAGGATAGATAATAAGAAATAGGAAGATAGATATTTTACAAAAGGGAAAGGGATCAAATATGGAGGAAAAGGGGAGGGAAGGGAGGAAAAGAGGAGCCCCCCCCAAAAAATTAAGATGTGCTATGTACACGTACTAAGAACTTATTTAAAGCATGCATTGTAAATTTTTTCTTTTTTGTTTTTTTATGAGTACATGTTTATAGTACATAATGATTCCATTCCTCTTGGGGAGTTGGTACATGTAGCTCCCAACTTCTAACAAAAAGACTTAAAATACGATGGTAAGAATGTCCTTTTGTGGAACATGAAAAACCATTTCTGTACAGAGTTCCTCCCCTCACCCCACTCTCGTCCTAGTGCCCTCTTGTTATTCCTTGGACACTACAAGGTCTGCATTCTACTTATTTACCTGTGTGCTCTGCATTTATTTATCTTGTCCCCATAACTAGAATGTAAACTCCAAGAGGACAGGGACTTTCTTCTGTGTTGTTAGTGCTGTATATAAAATGCCTGGGACAGTCCTTGACACATGCCATTTGCTGAGAAACTGAATGCCAGCTATGGGACAGTTGGAAATTCTAGGTATGAGGGAAAAATTAAAGTAGGAATCCCCACAATAGTAATGTATTACTTACTCCCTGCCTTTCTTCCCTCTGGCTTTTTCTTGCCTTGCAACCAATTAATAGGGAGTCAGGTTTCTTCTCACTCCATCTCTTTCTTCCACAAGGTGGTCTGTGAGCAGGGACTGTAATTAAACACTGTAGATTTGGAGGATTTCATAAACATGTTATGCTTCTATCTGGTATCATTTACAGGTCCTAGGGAAACCTGTTTCAGAAAGAGCTGCTGCCAAGGCAAACAGGCCTTTTATCTCCCTTTGTTTTTATTTGGCTATCATGCACACCTGCTCTATGGTGAGAGAGAGAGAGAAGATAGAGAGAGAGAGAGAGAGAGTCCTGTGTGCTGTTCTCCTCTGAAAGTGTTTATTTACTTGTTGGGAAAGCAAAACCAGGAACCTTGGGACTGCCAGAAACCAGCTGTGGGCGATAGCTGGTATAATAACTGCAAGTGTTACTCAAGGATAAAAGTGAGAAAAAACACAAAGTACATAAATATATTAAGGAAGGTCAGCTTTTGAGACTGGGCCTCAAAACTACCAGGTCATACAAAAAGCATACTCTCTATAAAACCATTTTAACAAAAGTGGTCTAATTTGGAATTAGGTATAATGGATCTGGAGGAATACCTACTTCTAGAATGTCCATTTGAAAAGAATCAAGGTTAACTCACTTTACCTTCACTGTTCCCACTTAACTAATATATTTATGTTCCTTTTGTTCCCATTTATCGCAAGACAGAAAAATGAGAAAGATGAAAACAAACCAATAAAAGTGAATAATAAAATTGCCTTAAACCACTCATTCTAAAAGTTCTAAGGGAGCTTGAAATGTTAAAGTAAATGCTAATTAATGAGCTCTACAGAGAATGAGGTCTTGGAATAATTGACAACTATTTCATATTATGCCAACTAGGTGGTTGTTTTTGATCCAATCTTTATAGCATATTTCCTAAAAATGTCAAGGACCATGCCTTAAGTGGTTCAAACTTATTAATACAATTAAAGCTTTTTTTCTCAAAGATTTAGTTTTGATTTCCATTTCTTAAAATATTATGAACTAAATAATCTGAAGATATTTCTACTTGGAAGCCTTCTGTATAACATAACAAATATTATTTTAATATGCATAGCTGAATTTGCAAGCAACTGTGAAAAATTCCCATTGGCCTAAAGTAAAGCAAGTGCATGCTAGATGTAACCCTGAGCAATGGAAAATGCAAAACAGAATCCAAAGAGGGTAAACTGAAGCCAAAGTAGCCTGGGGAGATTCTGGGCTTGGAAGCCAGGGGATTTATTTTTTCATGTCAAACTGGTACTCTGATGTCAAACACAATCTCTCCCTCCCTTTCTTCTTTTCTTCCTCTCCTCCCTTTCTTTCATTACTTCCTATACTTTCTAGAAGGAAAGATATGGAAAATGGAGAACAGAGAAATTTCAATGAAATAATGTTCAGAATATTTTCATCACTTATGAAAATTATTAATCTTCAGAATTAGAAATCTCAAGTACAGGGAAGGAAAAAATAAATCCACTGCCACATACCTATGAACTAAAACTGTAGGGCAACAGAGGGACATATTTTAAATGTAGCAAAGAGAAAAAGACAAATTATCTTCAAAGAAAAGTTAAAGATATTGTAAAGATATCTTTAAAATTATTAGAGAAAATAACTGCCAATTTAGAATTATGTACTATACCTAGAAGTTTATTATTAAAATGTGAGGGTGATGTAAACATACTTCTGAACAAATTTAATTAGCTACTAACACACTTTTAGCAAAATAATTCCTTTAGAGAATAAGAAAAATTTAATCCAGTAGTACCACACAAAAAACATGAAGGGATAGTGAATTAAGAAATTAGTAAATAGGTGGGATTTCATAATGGTTAGAAAACCCATCAAGTCAATACAGAAGGATAAAAAATACTGAATAGGAACTAAGTCACAAAGCAAATTGGTAAAAAATAGTTTTCTTTGAAAGTATTGCAATTAAATAACTAAGAAATTTATAGTAAGATAATGTATTGCTTTTCCCCAACATAAGTGAACTTCAAAACAAAATAAAACAAAATAAAAATGTAAAAATGCTTTTAAATCATATGTGGGTTAAAGAAGACATTACAATATAATTAGGAATCACTTGGATTAAATGCTAATAAAAATACAATATAGTGAACTTATGAGATGCAGCTAAATTGCTACTTATGAGAAATTTATAGCTTTAAATTATTATAGAGCTAGGGGCTTCTGGGCCACCATTCCACTGCTCCCAGGCCAAAGGAAGGGGCTTCTGGGCTGCCATTCCACTGTTCCCAGCACAGAGGTAGGGGCTTCTGGGCTGCTGTTCCACTACTCCCAGTGAAAAGGAGGCAAGCCACGCAGGTGCCAACAGCACACCCCGCCCCCTCATCAATATAAGAAGACACACAAACAAGTCTCAAAACCAGACTTCCAGATCACCTACAGCAAATCCAAAGGGAAACAAGATGGAACACTCTGATACTCAACCACCCGGATTCCCTGAACTGGCAACAAAAGAAGATCTGGAAAAAATGAAATCAGAAATAATTTCTCAGTGAACAGCAGAGATTGTGCCCATAGTTCAAGACATGATTAATCTACAGGGGACACAGATTAAAATAAATAGAGGAGCTGAGGAACATCATCAAATCCATAAAACAGATACAAACAGATTTCCAGGAGATTAAAAGCTCCATTGAAAGTCTACACAGTAGAATGAGCCAATGTGAGGTCAGAATTTCAGATATAAAAGATAAGATTGCAATTAGTGAGGAGGAAAAGAAAAATTGCTTCAAAAGTGTAAGGGACCAGAAGAAATCAATCCAGCAGCTGCCAGATGATGCAAAGAAGAATAACATAAGAATGATTGGAGTCAATGAAGAAAGAGGAGAGAGTGCAGATGACATAAAAAAAACTGTTCACAGAAGTAATGGCAGAAAACCTCCCAAGCAGGGGATAAGAACTTGACATACAGATAAGTGAAACATATAGGACTCCAAATAGCCTTGATGAAAAAAAAAATCTACACATAGGCATATAATAGTTGAGATTCCAGAAACCCAACAGAGAAAAAGGTTCTACAAGCAGTTAGGGAAAAGAAACAAATCACATACAAAGGAAAGCCTATCATAATCACAGCAGACTTCTCAACACAAACCCTCAAGGCAAGA